CCAGTGGAGGTCGCTCAATGACAATTAAACATTGCTCAACAGCCTACTTGTATTACGGTACTAACTGGCCCATTCAAGCTTTTCTAACACACACACACAGCAGAGGAGGAGACCTACCCACTATGGCAAGCCGTTTTAGCTTATAATAATCCCAGTGTTACTCGTCGTAATTGCATTTTTACTAGTAACTATTCAATTAGAGAGCTCTAAAATTAAATTCTTACTAGTAACAATGCCAGTTAGAGAGCTCTCTAAATCAATTCTCACTAGTAACAATTATAATTAGAGAGCTCTACAATTTAATTTGTACTAGTAATAATTCCAATTAGAGAGCTCTCTAAATAAATTTTTACTAGTAACAATTCCGATTAGAGAGCTCTCTAATTTAATTATTACTAGTAAAAATACAATTACAGAGCTCTATAATTCAATTTTTTTCTAGTAAAAAACCACATTAAAGATATGTTTAATTGCAGAGCTCTGTAACTGAATTAAAGAGCTCTATAATTCAGTTCTTACTAGTAACAATTGAATTAGAGAGCTCTCAAATTGAATTCTTACTAGTGAGAATATAATTGCAGACCTCTCTAACTGAATTAGAGAGGTCTGCAATTACATTCTTACTAGTAAGAATTCAATTTGAGAGCTCTCTAATTCAATTGTTACTAGTAAGAACTGAATTATAGAGCTCTTTAATTCAGTTACAGAGCTCTGCAATTAAACATATCTTTAATGTGGTTTTTTACTAGAAAAAAATTGAATTATAGAGCTCTCTAATTAATTGTTACTAGTAAGAATGCAATTGCAGAGATCTTTAATTCAATTACAGAGCTCTCTAATTTAATTGCTACTAGTAAGAATTGTATTAGAGAGCTCTCTAACTATAATTCTTACTAGTAAGAATGTAGCTGTAGAGCTGTGGAATTGCATTCTTACTAGTAAAAATTTAATTGTAGAGCTCTACAATAACGATTCTTACTAGTAAGAATTGCATTGTAGAGCTCTCTTTTAAGTGCAACCTCATTATGATAATTGCGCCTCATGCATATTCATAAAACGGGTGACTGTCTGTCCCTATGTAAGCAGTCCGTCAATAACACCATTGCGCTACGGTTTCCTGAGTTTGAATGGACCCTTCTGATCCCGCACCCCCTCCCCACAATTCACTTATAGCTGTCCAATCGGAATAAAGGCAAAAATGCCAAAAATAAATCTTAAAAAAAGAAAATGGGGACTCAAGCCGCTTGTTCAGTCAAGCAGCTTTTAATGATGAATAGCAGCGCTGAGGCTCTAATGATCTATTAAGTATTATTATATATTGATTAAAATCATTATAAAATGATTATGCTTTACAGAGAAGAAATATAGGTAGTCTATAGCTACTGTAAGTTATTTTTAAAGGTGAATTCACACTTGCACAGAAAACATGCATATAAATGTATTCTCAGCAATTGGCATATTTAATTATTGGTTGTAAAATACCTGTTTTTGTTAAGCTTTGTAAGGTCTTTATTCGCATTATCCACTCACACAATAATGCTGAGGCTGGGTCCTGCACTGTTAAGTTAACAGAAGCAGTTACTGCATGATGAAGCCTATTAGAATGCAGTTAGAATGCCACTATAATTATGAGGGCAAAAATATAGTATTTGTTTTTTATATTTATAACATCTGATATAGTTAAGTAACGTCTCGCAAGCCAGAGTGCCGTTTTCCGAATATTAGCGCACGAGCATGATCGTGAACGTGATGTTGATTTTATACAGTTCAACAACCAAGAAATTAATACAAGTGAGATACATTTTGGATACAATATTGCCTGTTTTTGTTTCACCAACACACATAGTTCCAAACAAAGACGGAAAAGAACTGTTGCGCCGCGCGTCTCCTAGAGACATGTTTGGTACTTGCATTAATCTGTGTTTTTAAATGAATCACTCAGTAAGACAGTCGTGCTGCTATCTATTGGCCAAAACCATGAAAACACAAAAATTAGGTGATATTTTGTCTGGTAAAGTATTTTCATGACTATAGGCTACTCTTTTTATTTTTTGTGATATGGACCTAAGTGTCTGAAATAAAGAAATAACAATATTAATAATATTAATAATAATAATAAGACATGTTTGGTTAATGAAGTGATTAAATATTAAAACAAAACCTTTGCAAACTGTCATCTCACTCTTATGGTCATTCTGACACAATGACAATGCTATCAATTCATGCTTATGGGGCTTTTATTTTGAAGTGTATCACCACAGGCGGGAATTGGAAAGGCAAATGGGTGTAGTTGCAAATCTGTTTGGCATCTAATGAATACAAGTTTTTACTAGTAAGAATACAATTGTAGAGCTCTGTAACTAGATTTCTTACTAGTAAGAATTTAATTAGAAAGCTCTGTAATTACATTTTTACTAGTAAGGACTGAATTAGAGAGCTCTCTAATCGGTATTGTTACTAGTAAGAATTTAATTGTAGAGCTCTTTAATTGAATTGTTACTAGTAAAAATGCAATTACGACGAGTAATGCTTGGGATATTTTAAGCTAAAATGGCTTGCCATACACGCAGCAGCTTGTTGAAGACACACCTCTTCTTGACTCAGTCCTGTTAAAAAACAAACAGACAGACAGACAAACAGTTAGAATGATATAGTGATTCAAATATTAAAATATACCTAGCTATAAATGCAAATATAAATTTGTTTAAGAGGTTATTGTTTTATATATGTTTACAAATTATTATTTTAAAATACTTTTACATAATTAAATAATTGTAAGTCATCTTTTGGCCTCTATGGAAGTTTACGCTACTCTATTTACTCAATTAACCTCTTTAAGACCCGGCAAACATTTTAGGAAAAAAATAGTATTTGTTCATGTAATTACATTGTTTAGAGCATTAAAAAAAAGAAAAAAAGAAATGAAAAGATATTTCATTCATAAGTTATGCTACGTCCTTGGTAAACGACTTCGGGACTCAATTTCTTTAAAAAAATAAAAAGACATGATTTTTTTTTTTTTACCAAACTTTCTCAATTCTCAACTATGTTATAACAGAATGATTTGATATACTGTACCATTTTTCTTCATGTAAAATGTGTGTAAAATGACTATAAACAGGTTTTCTCATTATATATAATGTATATAAACTAAAATCTAATTTGCATATGAATGTGTTTTTGGGGCAACATGTCATGAAAAAATAAGTGTAATGATGGGAGTAATAATTGACAAGATTTTCATAAAAATATTTAATATTTCATAGGAATATTGAAATATATTTTCTTTCCCTATTCATTTGTTGTGTCTCCCAAAATGCGTAATAAACATGTCCTCTTTAGTCCCGGTGTCCTCAAATGAGGATATGTATGAAATCAACGTCCTGTTTCGTAACAGAAAGTCATTTTTTGATTTGGAACCCCATAACATTTTCCTAAGATGTTGATTTGACACAGTTTAAAAATTAGTCAGATTTAAATGATAATTACAAAACATTATTATATTTCCATAAGTGTCACTAAATTAATATCAGACATTTTTGAAGACCAAGGAGAGTGAGTGGTCATGGTGAAACATCCAAACATTTAGTATCTCTGAAAAGCCCTGAATGTGCTCTGTACAGGACAGAACTGTGGCATGTAGAGTCTCAGAGAAATTCACTAAAATATAATGTACTCGTATGAGGATGCAGGGTCTCAGGAGGTTAAGGAAGAAATCCAAAATGTGCAGCATTAGAGGCCTCCACAAGAAGGGTTGAGAAACATTTTTACAAAACATTTATCACAGGGACAAACCTTTGAAACAACTTTGTTTCTTTGTTTCAATGTTGTGCATTGCTCATGTGACAGTGCCTGCTTGAAAACAGAAGGATTCTCTTTATACAAAATAACTCTCTTTCTTCTCTCAGTCTGTGACTCAGTGTGTATGTGAGTGTATGTATGCCAGCAGTGAGGCCTTCTGCTCCACACATAAAGGTCTCTCTGTTCGCCTGTTCTGTGGTTCTTTTTTCAGTGCTGCCAGTAAAGAAACACCAAAATAGCTTTCATAGTCTCCAACGCTGCTTAACTCAGAAGACTGTTGTTGCTAATCATTTAATGGGGAATACAAATTTAAAGACTGACTTGGACTAGTGGGAGTGTTAGGGAAATCAATGACAACGTCAAATGCTCAATTATCCACTGCATAAAGAATCGTACAAAGGATGCTCTCCAAAGCTTTATAACAAATGTTTAATTTGACATCTTAAAAAGCACACACTTTAAAAAAGATTTTTCCCAGTTGAAAATAAAATAAAGATTGCTGGAGTACATTTTACAGGAAAATACTATTTCAGTCTCTCTACGTCAACATTTCATGTTTAATTTAATGTGTTCAGCCACATTAAAAATGCTTAAATGCTTTTGGACAGAGAAAGAGCACATTCTGATAGTTGAATGGAGCACATATATGTATACAAAAAGAAATTAATGGTGATTAGCAGTCATCTGTGTTTTAAGTACAAAATACATTTGTTTCTTCTTAAAATGCATGTTCATGATTGCAAGAAATTAAGCCCTTATGTCATAAACAGGATATATTTACCAATATTTAACAAGCTAAATTAAAGAAATGAAGACATTAACATCAACAAATAATGTAAACAACATAACATGATCAGCCTTAATGATATGGGATTATTATTGTTAGAATCTCGATACCACCAACATTAAGGATCAAACAGTCTCACACCTATTCCTGGATCTATCCAGAACGCAGGATAGAGAGGCTGAGTGAATGTGATGTGGACTCTGTGAATGAGGGTCATTGTGTCAGAGACGCTGTAGAAGGACAGTGTTCCTGCACCGTGATCCACATATACTCCTATTCTAGAGGAGCTGGAGACTACAGGGACTGCAGTCATTACATTACTGTGCCAGAACTCACATTTGTCAATAAAGCATGCACATCAAAGACCAGCAAGGATTATTAGCTCCAATTCTACTTGCAGCACAGTCTCCCTTCCTGCCAATACTCTTATATGACACTGATATACTCAACCATCCATGTCCAGTCCATCCAACCTCCCAGTAACAGCGTCCACACACACTCTCTCTGCACAACACCTGAAGGTAAGGATCAAATCTTTCTGGATGATCGGGATATGGCTGTTTTTTCTGAGTGTCAGTAAACACTCTGTTCCCTTCAGACAGATAAAGGCGTTTATGTGCTGTGTTTGGGTCCAGTGTAAATCACTGGAAATCTGATGGGGAAAGAATATAAAATCAATAAACTGAATCATCTGAATTTTAATCAATAATACAGCATGTTAGCTGAAACTCATATTGCATGTCTAGTTCAACTTTCAACAGTCAGTCACTATCAAAACATCTAGTTTTGGATACTTATTTGATTCATCAGTGTACACCTGTGTTCTTCATAGTGTTTAAATGTACAGTAGCTTGTTTCTGTGTGTGTGTGTGTGAGCTCATCTGGTCACTTACATTGTAGGAACTCCTTCCTGCTCTCATATTCATGAGTGGGAATGATCTGTATCTCACTAAGGAAACCAACAGACATCCTTGGTGAAAACATTTAAACAATTCCACGTTCATTTTAATGCACATTAAATTGATTGATATTTGACTTATTTCAGAAAGCATGCGTGTCCAGTATTTTACCTCTAGCAGATATCTTTTTTTTCTCCTCTCTGCAGAAATGCTCTAGTTTCTCTCTAAGATCAGACACAGATTTTCCAACATCATCAAAAGAGAGACGAGAACTAACAGTTTGACAGGGTGAGTTTGTAGATCCAGGAGGAACAGAGATAGACTGGAAACTCTACACAGACACAAAGACACAAGAGAAACACCAGCTAAAGACACAAAAACATTTGATAGAAACACAATTTCTGTACAACATACTCGTCCCTTCCTGAAGACCACTGTCCTGTTTGTCAGATCTCTGTTACCTGGAGGAAATGGATGTGATTGTCTGTGTGTGAAAGCTGCTCCAGCTCAGCGTCTCTCCTCCTCAGATCTTCAATCTCCTGCTCAATTCGCTTCAATCGTCCTTCAGTTTGACTCATTTCAGCCTTTTCCTGATCTCTGATCAGCTGTGTCACCTCAGAGTGGCTTCTCTCAATGGAGCGGATCAGCTCAGTAAAGATCCTCTCACTGTCCTCCACTGCTGCCTGTGCAGAGCGCTGTTAGGACACCGAGAGAAAGAAGCATTAGAATCAGTCCATTCACTCAGCTCTTACTGCTACCTCACACAGCCTGTTCCCCACAGTGGGCTTCAGTGGGACTGAAAACGCTCCAGCACCGGCTCCTCACTGACTGACTGGAGGAGAGTCCACACTGAGTCTGAAACAGCTCTTCAGCAGCCAGCAGCTGTTCTTCTGCTCAGAACTCACCTTCTGAGACTCTACAGCCTCTCTCAGCTCCTCAAGCTCCTTCTGTCTCTCCTGGATTTTCTGCTGGAATTTTCTCTGGGTGTCATCCACATGCTTCTGTTAGACCACAGAAATATGTGAAAAATCAGTCCTCTGTTCAATTAGGCGGATCTTAGTCAGATTAAGTTGCCATTTACTCAGAAGTATGGCTACGCAAGACAGGAGAATTATTAACATGTTCTGATACTATTTCATCATAAACAAAAATATATAGAGTATCTTCCTGAATAAAGGCTCACTATAAAAGTGTATCATTAAATGAGGTTCCAAACGTAGGTTCGGGAGGAGCCTAATCATTCAGTCCTGTCAATCATTAGTACGAGCCTATATAAGCAGCACTCATCGCGCAGTCCCAGCGACAATTCTTCAAGCATCCCTCCACCTATTTCTGATATTCTCCCTCTATGTAGTACTGCAATAGGGTGGTTGAACTCGGAGCTCAAACTGAGCCTCGGGTTCGAGCCTCCGTTGAGGACAGCAAGCCAAGTTTTTTTATTTTTTTATTAGCCATCAGCACTGGATGAGCAGGCGAACTCGTGAAACAGAAGAGGACAAATTTCACTCCTACTTTTCTCTGTCCTCTCAAAATGAGATGAATCGTACTTGTGACAACACCATGATAACATAAAGCCATCAATTCAACCAAATTATTTAAAACCTTAGGCTACTGCACATGATAGCTTCTTATTATGTATAAGTTACTTTAATTTTGTCAATAGCGTAGGCTATAAAATATATGATAAAATGCATTTATTTCTGTATGATACAGTTCATACCTGTTTCTCAGTCCTCTCTGCAGCAGCTGATACAGTGTTGTGGTTTTTGTGTTCATCCACCATACACATATAACATATACAGCACTGGTCTATAAACCAGACAGGATTTGATAGCTTTATATTTTCTCCCAGTACAGATGTCACACTTCACATTTCCAGATCCAGGGAAACATTGAGCAGGACGAGCAGCTTGGCGTTTTGTCTTCTTGAGTTTCTCCAGCACTTCAGCCAGCATGGTGTTTTTACCTAAAACAGGTCTTGGAGTGAAGGTCTGTCTGCACTGAGGGCAGCTGTAGACTCCCTTCTGATCATCCTGATCCCAGCAGCCTGTAATACAGCTCATACAGTAACTGTGTCCACAGGGAACTGTCACTGGATCCTTCAGTAGATCCAGACAGATTGAACAGCTGAACTGAAACACTGGATTCTGCCATTTTACAGGGTGTAGGTACAAATAAACACAGAGACATTGAACTGTTACACTCCCTGGTTTCCTGGTTTTGTGTTAAGACAGACGTGTGCGTCTGTACGCGTGACACACCTGTAGTATCTGGAAACTGTTCACAATAAAAAGGTCCACAAGTTCAGCAACTGTGAAAAATATAAAGCAATACTGAACGTCTAGATGGCGCTCTAACACTGTTTTTCATGTCAGTGTAGTCAAGTCAAGTCACCTTTATTTATATAGCGCTTTTAACAATACTGATTGTGTCAAAGCAACTGTACAGCATTTATTAGGAAAATATTGTGTCAATGATGCAAAATGATAATAGTGAACACTCAATTTGTGTTGTGTCTAGTGATAGGCTACCTGAACTCGTTTTTAATAACGATTTTAATAAATAAATAAATAAATAACAATGTTAGTTTTCTAAATTAATATTTGTCTAGAAAACCAATTGACGACAATTTAAGCAAAAGCTTTTAAATGAAACTTTTTTAAAGACCGTTAGATAGAAGTAGCAGAAATAGAAGAGCGTCTCCTTTACACGTAGGCTAAGTAAGTCAAATTTGAACAAGAAAAGCATCTCATTAAACTTGTTTGGGAAAAGATGACTTGTCTGAAAGACTGGACTTGTGTGGTGGTTTCCAGGGGTGTGAGTGTGATTCCAGGCCGGGCAGGGGAGGTTTGCGAGCTTGTGGTGGGGGGCAGACAGCTGTCCGGTCTCGCGCGGCGCAGTTTTCATATATGGTCACGTAATCATGGCAACCTTGACATACCCGTTCTAAAAACAGACCAGACGTGGAGGAAGGTGACGAAGCGTTTTGTACGCGTCCCACACGGGTAGACAGTATTGCAACTGCATTTCTTTTGTAAGAAAATAAAAATAAAATAGACCAACACACACCAGAGTGTGTTCGACGAGTGCGTGCGCTCCGCGTGATGAGCGTGGATTTGGATTCTTGGTGCCCAAGAACGCGCGAGACCATGGAGAGTTTGGAGAGGCAGCTGATATGCCCAATTTGCCTTGAGATCTTCACCAAGCCGGTGGTGATCTTACCGTGCCAGCACAACCTCTGCCGCAAATGTGCCAATGACATCTTTCAGGTACCGCCAGTATAGGCCTATACAAAACTTAAAGTTAACATCTATTTTTGGAGCATGGTATTTTATAACACTATATTTCAAAAAACATCTTGAGAAGCTGGTATGAACATTTGGTATGTTACTGGTTCAAGATTGTCTTGTGCTTGGAATGGCTTGGAACAGCTATTAACCAGTTTAGACATGTTCCAAAAGTATCCGTTTAAGCTTGATTTTCTTGTGGTGCTTTTAAAATCAGCAGCCGTACTGCTGTATAGTGATGACAACTTATTATTTATAATACATATTTGTGTATACAATTGGAGAAGTTGGTGAAGCTATGGTTGATGTGTGAGGAGCATCCGGATGAGAAGATTAATATATACTGTTTGACGTGCTCTATTCCCACTTGTTCGCTATGTAAAGTCTTTGGGAGTCATCAGTCCTGTCAGGTTGCTCCACTCAAATCTGTCTACGAGACCCAGAAAGTGAGACTGCTTTAAATCGATCTTTTTGCTTTCCTCTCCCTGCACCTCTGTATTTAATCTTCATGATGATTGATCAGTTTATATTTATGTGATTGTGTGCGCAGACCGAGTTGTCTGATGGTGTTGCTGTGTTGGTTGGCAACAATGACAGAATTCAGGGCGTCATCAGTCAGCTGGAGGAAAGCTGCAGCGCAGTGGAGGTCAGTGTGTGTGTGTGTGTGTTATCAACAGCAATTACCTTTTTTTTTTACCATGTCTTCAACGTTTAGTTATTTCTTACATTATGGTCCTTGTAATGATGTCAGTGCATGTGTGTTTGTGTGTAGGAGAACGGTCGTAGGCAGAAGTCTCGTGTATGTGAGTGGTTTGATCGTCTGTATGCTCTTCTGGAAGAGCGCAGAGGAGAACTCACACTGAAGATCACCGCAGAACAGCAGGAGAAACTTAACTACATCGGTGGCCTACAGTGCAAGTACATGCACACACACACACATAAATGCACACAACACATTTATCTGCTTCACTCAAAGTTTTTTAATGTGTTAACAGCATATTTTCTTTATTTTTCCATAATAAGTATGTTTATGCAGGTTTTACACACTCTGCTAATCACAGCAATCATCTGTGCAGGTACAGAGAGCACCTGGATAACACAGCTAAATTAGTGGAGACAGGATTTCAGACGATGGAGGAATCTGAGATGGCCATCTTCTTGCAGGTCTGCCAAGTTCTTTATTGTAGTCTTGCATGTTTTTCTTTAACAAAAACACTTAAAAGTAAAATAATATGTTGTGTATTAGAAAAGAAAGCATGTTTTTCCTAAACAATGGATTGTTTTTAATCTACATGTCTCTCGAACAGAATACAAAGCCTCTACTACAAAAGTAAGATTCAAATAATCATTTTACTGATTATAACTTTTTTTTAACTGTACACTTCATCCTTCTGATGCCATCTTATTCATTATGTCTTCTTCATCTCAGGATAGCAGAAGGCAGGAATGTGTCTCATTTAGAAAAGGTGGAACGTGGATATGAAAATATGGATCATTTCACTGCAAACTTCAGCTCTGAACGAAGAACAATACTCAGCATGGACTTTACCAAGGGTAAATTAACTCAGTTTTTTTTTTTTTAATCTGTTCCTTTATATAATATCTTTCTCTCTGTTATTGTAGATGGTGATGAAAATGAAGAGGATGAGGATGAGGAAGAATTAGCAGGTACTGTTAGTCCAGAGACTGAGACATCTTCATTGGCTACACCTGCCCCGGCCCAGCAGAGACAAACCGCTGTACCGACATCTCCACCAATGGCAGCTGACTCCTCCCAGATGTCATCAAAACCAAGTCAATCAGTGAACATCAACCCAGCAGAGAACACACCCTTATTTACGCCCACTCTAGACACAAGTCACAACTCTTCCACAGACGCACCTGCTCAGGTATTGGGTTGAACTGTTCTGGAACAGTGTTGTAAATACAACTTCACCACTGATTTCTAGTCGTGTCCTCTTTTGGAAGGCCAAACAAAGTATTTTCGCTTTTGCAACGAAACACACAGCATCTTCACAACATGGTGGCGGGGCGGTGGCAGCAACAATAAAGTTACGCAACATTTGGGCGGCGTTATGCAAATCTTCCCACATCGTGACGTAGACATGTGGGGGTGTGTTTAAATGAGGCGTTTTAGGAGGGCGTGTACGAGTCTTAACTTTGATAAAGAATATCTCTTTGGGTTTGAGACTTTAGTCTTTGCAACTTTAGGGATCTTATCTATTCACGAACAGCTTGTAACACTCCAAAGAGAGAGGAAAACTTGAAATCGCATCATATGACCCCTTTAAACATGAGCAATAGGCTGGTAGCTTCAGAATCTGAGCTGCTAGTCAAAAGGCTGGAAGTTTTTGTCCCAAAAGAGCTGAGAACAAAACCAGAACAATCCTGAATTACGAGTGACAATCAAAAAAAGCCTAAACTCTGACCTGCCCCATCTCTAACCTTTCAGTCATTTCAAAACTATTTCATATGACCACCGATAGATACTGTATTATGTTATGACCACAAATCACTATGAAAACCCTTTTGCTCTGTCTTACTGCTTCCATTTCTGTCCAGCCATCGCCATCTGTCTCTTTCCATCTCATTTTCTCCTTCTTTTCCATATATTTAGGTAACTGCCGATCCCAGCCAGACATCTGAGGATGGACCATGCCACGTTTTCTCTTTTTCCTGGTTAAATATGCCAAAATAATATCAGACTAAGTTAGTAAACCTGCAACATCACAGTACGTTCCAGAAAAGTACTTCATAACTAATATTTTGTTACTTTGACACTACAGTCATAAATATGCATTCAATATCAAAGTAGGAATTTGGCGAGATGAAAACACAACTGTTAGGCCTAAATATTCATTGATAATATTTTCTGACTAAAGTAGCTGACTAAAATGGAAAATAAAGGATTATTAATACGTGTATAAGTCTTGTCTTTTGTATATGTTCCTACTGAGGATATGCCTGTTTCTGAATAAATTAAAAGATGAAGGAAAAGGCCTACAAGAACTAAAAGATTATTCACATGTAAACCCTAAACATGTCTAACGCCACTTTAGCAAGAAACATAAAATCATATTTTAATACGTTATACATATAATGTATTTGTGTAAGACGTGTATTATTTTCCTAAATCGTCCATAATCTTGCGGTTGTTGCTCGCGCGCTGGGCCAGTTGTTCGGCTCGCGCCATCTGCAGCACCTCGCGCAGCAGGTGAAAAGTCAGATCCAGCGAAATTGGCGGATCCTCAGACCGTCGCTCCCGCTCCTCGAAGCTGTTTATGATCTCGTTACCGACACTACCGAGCTTACCTCCTAACCGCCGCTGCGTGAGCTGCAGCTGAAGCGCCTCGGTGCGTGTCGGTGATCTCCGGTCTGGCGCGCGCGGACTGTGAGCGGCGTTGTCCAGCCTGATGAAGTACTCCGCTCCTGAGCGCATCAGAACCGGCAGCTGCGTGTTCGTGTGTCCGGGGGCGGATCCAGAAAGCGAGACAAACACACCGAGGGACACAGCAGCGAGTAGCACGTGCAGCTTCATTGAGGGAAACTTCCGGTTATCTGAATAAACGTGAAATAATGGGCGATAAAAACGTGAACAGGACTTGAAAAAGTTTTCTCTCTCTCTCTCTCTTTATTCTTTAATGTGTGCATGACTTTTATACATTAATACTTTCTTTTTATATAACCCATATATGGGTTCCAGAAATCTGAGACTAGCCTACTGCACTTTTTAACCTGAAAATGTTCTATTCCATTTGAGCATTTTTAATGACATGCGGGCATATAGTCATCCTGTTACGCTTTAATGTTTACATTTAGTCATTTAGCAGACGCTTTTATCCAAAGCGACATACAAATGAGGACAATGCAGTCAAAACTAACAAAAGAGCAACAATTTTAACGTTTAAAAATGTCATGTTTAATGCATTTTTTTGTTGCAGTGTAGCCAATAGTTTCACGTCATAACATTTCAAAATTCCATACCTTATGTCTGGCTTTAAGAAAAAAAGTGGGCTCAGACTTTTGATTCGATTTCATTACTTTTATTACAAACAACTATTTCAAATAATTAACTAACACTTTCACGCATTAGCATAGCTACAGTTTACGATTTATGTCATTTTGTAAAAGGCATGATTTGAGTGAATGCTTACCTCGGGTCGGTGTCTACTGGAAATGACCTTGTTTGTGAGAGTCGGTTGTCGGTGCATCTCGAGCATCAGTGGGGTTTATTTATATGAGGCGAAGAGCATCTTATTTCTGAGATGACAGAATCACCGGAATGAGTCATGGAATAATTGGCTGCGGTTCAAGTAAATCCAAAATGAAAATGCTCCTGCATTCCGTCGTGTGTTTAGTTCACGTTGTAGATTTAATCGAGAGTCAGTCTCCTCTGAATTAACCGGGACTTTCTTAATTCGTGTTAATGAATCTGATTCAACCGCCGGTAATTGAGCGACTCTGTTGATGACGCACTGAAGCGCCGAGGGAGAGCAGCGCACCTCCACACTGTAAAGAAATAAGTGTCATTTTAACTGTAAAAACGCTACAGAAAAAAACTGTTTCATTACTTTTATTACAAACAACTATTTCAAATAATTAACTAACACTTTCACGCATTAGCATAGCTACAGTTTACGATTTATGTCATTTTGTAAAAGGCATGATTTGAGTGAATGCTTACCTCGGGTCGGTGTCTACTGGAAATGACCTTGTTTGTGAGAGTCGGTTGTCGGTGCATCTCGAGCATCAGTGGGGTTTATTTATATGAGGCGAAGAGCATCTTATTTCTGAGATGACAGAATCACCGGAATGAGTCATGGAATAATTGGCTGCGGTTCAAGTAAATCCAAAATGAAAATGCTCCTGCATTCCGTCGTGTGTTTAGTTCACGTTGTAGATTTAATCGAGAGTCAGTCTCCTCTGAATTAACCGGGACTTTCTTAATTCGTGTTAATGAATCTGATTCAACCGCCGGTAATTGAGCGACTCTGTTGATGACGCACTGAAGCGCCGAGGGAGAGCAGCGCACCTCCACACTGTAAAGAAATAAGTGTCATTTTAACTGTAAAAACGCTACAGAAAAAAACTGTTAATAGGTTAACAGTAAGTTCCCGTACTATATACAGGGGAAAACGGTAAAATATCTAACCAGATATTTCATGTAATTGTACAGTAAAATGCTGTTAATTTTACAGTTTTCAGAAGTAAAAATAACAAATCAATGTATGATTTACAGTCAAAAACTGTAAACTGATATTCCCAGAATTCCCTGCATGACACTCCACATTGAAAGTATTTTGTTTAAATAATCATGTTTTTTTAATCGTTTTTGTTATTAGTTATGTATATTTGGGCTTTCTGTTACATCTTCTGTTGGTTAATGAAAGTTTAATGCATTATTTAAGTATCATGTGTGTTACCATGATGGTGTTTTGTGTTTGCATGAATGTGCACCTTCTATATATTAGTATATACTTCTTCATGTAGCTTTCTCTTTTACCACCTGCATTATTATGGTGGTTGTCAGTATGTTAAAGGTACAAAACAGATTTTAATAGTAGTGTGCATTGTTGAATTTACTGGTTTGCATTCAAATTTTCTTGTTTGTTTTTGGCCGTAAACCACAGCTGCCAAAATTATTTTGTAAAAACTACAGAATTTTTTTTTTTACAGTGCACCTGTTCAAATCGTTGGCACAGATGAGCGCAAGATCTGAGACACGAGTAATCAATCCAGGGTACGGTGTCAAAGGGCCTCCCACGCGGGATCAGCTGGTTTACATCTTACCTCATTAAAATAATCACAAACATGGACAAAATGCATTCATCCATTTTCCAAATTGCCTGTCGTGGGAGTGCTGGAGCTCAAACATGAATGGCCAGCCATGAAACGGGGACAGTTATTGAGTCACTACCCTGCATTATAGCTACAAATAATGTGTTCATGTATGTGCCTTATTTAGGAGCAGAGGCGGGCACTAACTAAGTACATTTACTTGAGTATTGTACTTAGGTACACTTTTTAAGTATCTGTACTTTACTTGAGTATTATTTTTTCTGGGAACTTATGACTTTAACTTCACTACATTTGAAAGACAAATATTGTACTTTTCACTCCACTACATTTCTATCAAGGTCCTCAAAGTAGAAAGTTGTTACTATGTGGCAGCTCTGAAAGTCAGTGGGTGATTTTTTCTTCTTCTCTAAAACGTGACTTTCTTTTTTTCAGACACTTTATCAGTAATCACTCTTGGGGCTACATCAAGTGATTTCCCAGCATTTTTTTTAATACTGACCAGTTGCAAATGCAACAATTCAATAATAAGAAGTTAATATTGTGGTATACATTACACACAATATTGTCTGATTTTGCTAAATTGTGTACGTGAAAATATTACCTATAAAGCCACAGAAGAACTGTTGTGCATCTCCTAATAAAACACAATAGGTGTTGGACTTGAAGCAGAACTGCACAGACTGTTCTGTGTGTGACATCAAAGTACCGCGAGAGCGATTAGACAGCATTTAAAATGTTTGTTTTGATGTCAAATAAGTCTGTTGCTGTTTTGCTTTTTTGTTAAAGCAGTGTTGCTGTTGTAAAGTTATACAGCTACAGTTGTGTTGCTGGGTTTTAAAGCAGGTTTGATTATTTATCTTCCTTATCACTCTGTATTTACAGGATTTCACTGTACTGTATTCAGTAGGTGTAATGTATTCTAAGTTGCTTCAGAAGTATTGCAAGTACTACGTACAACAATAAAACAGTGCATTGACATAAAAAAAGGAAATTTACTTTTGGTACTTAAGTACTTTTAAAAGCAAGTACTTCTGTACTTTTACTTGAGTAAAAATCTGTCTTTACAACTTTGACTTGTAATGGAGTAATATTTGACCAGCAGTATCTGTACTTTCACTCAAGTAATGGAGTTGAGTACTTTGTCCGCCTCTGTTTAGGAGGAACAGGTGCTTTTTTGTTTAGTAAAATGTTAGTCTGTAGGGAAATGTGAACTTATACGCAATTTCATAAATTTGATAGAATTTGATAAGTTTGTTAAAAAAAGCTTTCTTTTGGTTTTTCAGCTAATAAAATATGTTTTGCTAATGTTCAGGGATAGTTCACCCAAAAATGAAAATTCTGTCATCCTTTATTCAACATTTATTGCACCCTGTATGAATTTATTTCTACTGCTTAACTCAAAAGAAGATATATTGAATAATATAGGTAAACAGTTTTTGGTCCCTATTGACTTCCATAGTATTTTTTTCTGAAGTCCGTGGGGAATAACAACTGCTTTGTTACCAACATTCTTAAAAACATCTTGTTTTTTGTTCAACAGGTGCTTTTTTGTTTAGTAAAATGTTAGTCTGTAGGGAAATGTGAACTTATACGCAATTTCATAAATTTGATAGAATTTGATAAGTTTGTTAAAAAAAGCTTTCTTTTGGTTTTTCAGCTAATAAAATATGTTTTGCTAATGTTCAGGGATAGTTCACCCAAAAATGAAAATTCTGTCATCCTTTATTCAACATTTATTGCACCCTGTATGAATTTATTTCTACTGCTTAACTCAAAAGAAGATATATTGAATAATATAGGTAAACAGTTTTTGGTCCCTATTGACTTCCATAGTATTTTTTTCTGAAGTCCGTGGGGAATAACAACTGCTTTGTTACCAACATTCTTAAAAACATCTTGTTTTTTGTTCAACGCAAAAAAAGAAACTCATACAGGTTTGGAACAACTTGTAAATTGACATAATTTTCATTTTTGGCTGAACTTTCCCTGTATGAAAACATTTCTGAACTTTCATAATGTCCAGTTTACAAAAATAATTTTTATAACTTTTTTCCTTAGTTATGCAGATGATAAGGGAACATTCCTTTTTCATTTCGCAAACATTATGGGAACGTTACTTTTGAATGTTCTCTAAACATTCTGAAACAAGTAATTAAAAATGTTAGATGAACATTCAAGTAAAACGTTTCAGAAAATAATTAATCTCATTTATATAAAAGTGTTTGTGTTTCGAATGGTTTCTGTTATATTATTCTGGTATAATTACTAACAGATTAAATAATTATGTTAAAGTGGTTCAGCTGTTAGAAAAAGTGTTCTGTTAAAATCAATTAACACAGACAGCTGCTTCACACTGAACAGTTCAACACAACACCATTAATTAATTATGACTTGAGTAAACACAGTCAGCACACTGTGATAACACAGCAGGGACATGCTTTATGCATCATTTCATGACTGTGGTATAAATAAATAGGCTATATTTTTAGATTTTTTTCTGTAGTATGTTTTCATGCATCTTGCAGGAGTCAAATTGTACAAATGTATATTTTGTCAAGCAGTTGTTTTATTTCTTGGTTTCCAAACACCTAGTTCTTGTGATTGATTGATTGATTGATTGATTTTTGGTGGCTCTGTAGCTGTTGGATGAACAAGTGAACGCAATAAAACTACACTGGTAACTATACAATAAAGGGAGACTTTAATGAAAAGTAGGCTACTCTATAATTGTTTTAATAATTTTTTAAAACTTTGCTAAAAAAAAGAAGAAGAAGAAGCCTTAGGCAATTTAAAGGGGTCATATGATGCGATTTAAGTATTTTCTTTCTCTTTGGAGTGTTATAAGCTCTTGGTGCATAAAGAAGATCTGTAAAGTTGCAAAGACTAAAGTCTCAAATCCAAAGAGATATTCTTTATAAAAGTTAAGAGTTAGCCACGCCTACCTAAAACGGCTCGTTCTAACACGCCCCCACATGTCTACGTCACGATGTGGGAAGATTTGCATAACGCCGCCCAAATGTTCACGCAAAGAAAGAAGGCATAACTTTTATTCACGCTGTAGTATTGTTGTTGCCGCCGCCATGTCATGAAGGCGCTGTGTTTCGTTGTGAAAGCGAAACTACTTTGTTTGGCCTTCCAAAAGAGGACGATATCTGCTTTGTCATGCCTGGAGCTGATTGGTGCTGGTTGCTGAGGAAATACTACAACTTTGCGCTGTGGCTCACCAGATCGGATTTCACCGTGGACGAAGCGGAGTCCAGCCCGGGGTCGTGACATGTGGTTGCCGCAAGCCCTCCGGACACTCATTCGTCGAATCCGCCGGCCGTGCCGTTCTTAAGCCCACCGGCCTCCGCTCACTCTAGCCCTCCAGCCGTTCCGCACTCTAGCCCCCGGCCTCTGCTCACTCTAGGCCGCCACCGCTCACTCTAGGCCACACTTAAATATAAATATAAATATAAATATAAATATAAATATAAATATAAATATAAATATAAATAGTCATGTTTCCGCCTCAGTCATGAGTTATATTTTTTATATTTAAAGCAAGTTTTTTGGGCAGTGTAGAGTATATGTTTGTTGTTTGTCTTTTCTCTGATAATTTCTCTGATCACAAATGCAGACATGGTTTTATGTTTATGCATAGTATAAGTCAGTATAATCCATAATTATGTCCCCATTGAATGCAACGAATGCCTCGTTTATAATAGGTTTTCATGTTTTTGAATCATCATTAATTCCCATTGTGACAACTTAAATATAAATATAAATATAAATATAAATATAAATATAAATATAAATATAAATAGTCATGTTTCCGCCTCAGTCATGAGTGCATACCTGTCAGCAGGTGGCAGACGGACACGGTGCGAACTGTAAGCAGCTGGAGGCGCGCACTAGCGGGCGCGAGCAGGAATCATGGCAGGCGGTGAGAGAGCCGCTCATCTGATGCGTCAGCTCGCGAGCGCGGCGTAAGTTTAAATCGTTCAAGTTTGCACCGTTAAGGTATTAAAGTGTGTTAGTTTTAGTGAGTGCACGTTCATATTTCTATGTGTATAGGTTATGCATGTTGACTCTCGTCAATGCCCTAAGATAAGAAAGAATTGTAAACAGACCCTTAAAGGGACAGTTCACCAAAATAAATTCTGACATAATGTACTCAACCTCATGTTGTTCCAAACCTGGAGGACTTTCTTTCTTATGTGGAACAGAAAATAAGATATTAGGCAGAATGAC